ACTGGCGGAGGCCAGTGGTACTTACCTGTGGCGCCATCGCTCCAGCTCCATCTTCGTGGTACCTGCATCAAGGCGCCAACTTCACAGGTTAGTACTCGCCACCTGACTTCTCAGAGTACGACAGAGAGAGGCAGAGTTGTGACTTGAGACTTGACGACATTGGATCCAGACTTGACATTTGGGATTCAGACATTCCGACGAGGGACTATTTGGGCTTGTGCCGAAGACTTGGTGTTGACGACATTCCCATCTTCCCCCTCCTCTTCGTCTATCGCCTTCCTCTTCGTCTGTGTATGGTATGGGCTGGCGCAGTCTTCCTGTGTGAAGCGCCAGGCCCATTTCACACCATGTAACGATGATGATGATGTATGTTCAGGGCTGCATTTCAACATTGATTGTTCGGATCACTGGTATCTAAGTCTTCCGTTGTGCTATCTTTACTTTGTATTGAAAGGTCGGTTCTTGTTCTAGTCTGCACGTTACAGTATGCAACATATAGCCAGGAAGAAGAAGACTTGCGCATACTTCATTGAACACTTGTTTTTGGTTGTTCGGGGTTGTTGTAAACGCGGTTGGGATTCTTGGAAAAAGTACTTTGGATTGATAGGAGGACGACGGGGGATTGGAGAATTGAAATTCGTTTTTCTATTCGGTTTTGTGTGGATTTGCCTCCTTTGAGTCCACTCTGCAATTGCATGCGTGAATGGGAACGTGTGAATTCACCGTGGATTGAAGTTCAATCGAGTTCATAACACTTGCATATCGGGCAGTCTGGTCATCAGTGACTACCAAGCTTGAAATACCACTCTTTCATCTAAGGGTGTCTAACTGCCAAAACAATTGGTTTGGTAGAACTTTGCATGGTGGGTAGTTTATCTGGGGTGGATGCCTTATCTGGGGCGCTTACACAGTAATGTTAAAGGCAAATCTGGCTATATGCTGAAACTCTCATCAGAGCTAGAATCATTGTCGACGTTCTCCAAGGTGGGTTGTGACACGTGCTGTTGGAATATTGGATGAAAAGGTTCGTCATGACAAACACGCTGGTCATCACAGTGGTTGTCAGAACGTAATGCCGGGTTAACCCAAAGTTCTGGCATTATGGAGTATCGTGGTGCAGGGTGAGGACCATACAGATAGGACTCCACATTCATCAAAGGGTTCGGATATTCGATGAAAGGGTAGGCAGACGGGTCGTTCAAATGCCATTCTGGGTTAACCTGCAATTCTCACTATTGGCCGTTGAGGTTCGCGGTGCACGGAGACTCTGGATTTTGTGAGTTCCACATGCGAATGCATGGGTATCCCACAGAAGCCATGAACTTCAACAAATAGAACAAACAACAGATCCTTCCGCTGAGGTATCACGTCCCAAACTTTCTCTGACAATAGTTCCCCATGCAGGTTGTCATCCTCTAACACGGGTATACCCACCTTTGCTTTGCCACTGATGTTGGACTAAACCACAATGCTGGCAGTTGGTACACTTCCGCCCGTTTCAGTCCAATCTATTATAGTCCCTTCCCATCTTCAGTCAACCTCTTCTGTCCCTCGACCCTACATGTTCGATGCCTCCATACCTTGCTGCCCTTCTGTGGGAAAATTCGCACAGCGTCATGGCATTCTCTAAGGAAAAGATTCATGCTGAACTGTTACAGCGTTTTTGGTGGCCTTTTGTGAAGAGGGATGCACATGCGTACGTAGAGAATTGCCAGGTTTGTCAAAGAGGCAAACCACGAACACCAGTGCTGTTATGCTTATTGAAGCCTCTCCCTATCCCTACTGATCCTGGACAGTTGGTAGTCATGGACTTCATGGACACTCTTGTCACCAGCAAGAGAGGGAATTGGCAAATTTTTAATTTTTGTTTAATAGACAAATTCTCAAAGTTTGTCCTGTTCATACCCTCACCAGCTACAGCCAGACATGCAATAATCGAAGCTCTTACTGATTCTTGGATTGGAGAGTTTGGATATTCCAAGATGGTAGAAATAGGTATTGTATGTCCTTCGGGACATCTGTTAAAATTGGAACGATACGGAGAAGATTAGCATGGCCCCTGCGCAAGGATGACACACATAAATCGAGAAATGGTCCAAATTAAAAAAAGAAAAAAAAAGAAAAAAAAAGAAACAGGTATTGTATCATAAGTGAACGCTGGCAAACCTTAGCGAAGAATGTGGGCATTGTGGGTCAGAACTGGAGATGAGTTCAGGGAATCACCCTGAGACTTTTGGGACAGGCTGAGAAGATAAGCAAACAGGTATAACATTTGCTAGGGAACTGTACCCCCAAGCAGCTTAATGGGACGGGCTTCTGTCTCGACTATACCTTGGCTACCTCAGGATTTCTTATTTTCGATTCCAAAGCAGATTCAAAATCTGGAAGTATAGAGTTTACACTAGAATTGGAAGAGACACTGCAGAAGACAGTTAAACAAATTCAAAAGTCAAAGCAGGTCATGATAGGGAGAGAAAGTCAACATAGACAGATGCCTACTTTCCAGGTAGGAGATTGGTATGGGTTAAGTCATCAGGGTTTACACCTGAAGAGAACATATCAGGGAAACTGTAGGAGACAGCCCTGATGGTTCTACTTACGCGATTAATGTTCCCCCTCACCGTTTCTGAAAGTGACAACTTTCCTCCTCACCTTTTCTGAAAGTGACATTTTTCGTTCTTGTCGGTCTATGTTACTGCGCTCAATGGATGGTCAAGTTGACATCATCTGTATGATGTCAACTACCTTTTGGTCAGCTACCTTTTGGTACCTATGCCTGCAGGCAGATGGGGACAGAAGAGCAGCAACTGCAATTCCAGGTCTGGTTCAGACATCATATGGATCTGAGTGAAGACCGGTGGTTACCTGAGAAGAGTTTATTAAGTCCGCACCCCAGGTGGTTTCATATTATGGCTCTTAAAAGGAAGCAACGACAAGAATGAGGGTATCTCAGAGGACTTTGGAACCTGAGGAGGTGGGAATGTGGGGCTCTCAGGCCTCGGGGACCCTAAGAAGGCCGCGGTTGTGAAGCCTGCGCCCCAAGTAACTATCCTGTAGGCCCTGACTAGGGACCCCGACTGTGCAGGTACCTGGGCCTGGATACAGACCGGTAGGGACTGCAGACGGGAAGGACATCACCCTGTTGTGAACAAAAGGAGGCAGGCTTAGGCATTTGACAGCATTGTGCTGCCAACAGACAGTGCCAAGGGCGCAGCATAGGCGTGGGCTGCTCACCGGCATGCTAGCCATAGGTGGAAGGAGGCAGCACAGTGGCAAGGAGAAGTGGAGTTCATTGGGAGAGGAGGTGGGTTGTGGGGACAGGTATAAACTTCCATTGTATGGCAGGAGAGCACCTATGTGATCAGACCCTTCAGCAGCATCTGCCAAGAGAGGAGAAAACAGAGAGTGAGAGAGGAGGTTAGGTGATGGGTTAGACTGGGAAGTAGTGTAGGCAGTCACATTGTTTCCATTGGTGGAGGCAAGAAGTGGGCTTTCACTATCAAGAGATTTCAGTGTTCAGTGTGTTCATGCTTTGGTGCTCTACGCCTTCTCAATTCTGGTTTCAGTTTGGTCTACTTGTGAATGGACTTCAATCAGTTATTGCTGCTCGAATTTTTTGTGTTCTCAGATGCAGGTCCCTTGCATTCTGAGTAAATAAGGAATAACAACTGGCCCGCTAGTTGATGTTGATGGTGTCTGCTTGACAATTTTCCTTGTGAACTTTTCTTGCATTTCATGGATTGTGGAACAGATGATCAGAGTGCCACTTTACCTACAGCTCCAGGATGTCTCCTCTCACCAGCTGGATCTCGTAGCATGAGTGGAAGGGAATCAAATATGATTAGAGGCTACCCTCACAGTGGTATATTGTCAAGAATGAAAGTTGTGAGCTTAATGCCGCGTCTAGTAGTTTTCGAAGAGTTCATCACAGATGAGGAATGTGACCGACTCATCGAGATAGCGAGGCCACATCTCAAGCGCTCGCTTGTCTCTGGAAGAGCAATAAGCGAGGTATGTATTGCTTATCTCATTTTCCCCCCTTAGGGCACCCTAGCCACATTGCTACTTGGACAGTGATTGCAATGTGGAACTGCAATGGCATGAACTCTGGAGAGTGCAGGTCCTCATTGTGTCGGAGTACAGGGAGAGAGAGTGTGACTGATATCATCGGGTGTGCTCTGTTACCATAGCTGTACTGGCTCTGCATTTGAATTGCATGGCCGATATGGCCAGGGTTGGTGGATGACTTCATCATGACCGAGGAGTGGGGATGGTTGATATGGGCAGGGTTGATGGATACCTTTGTTTTAACATGGGATTGGGAATTTGTATATGTTTCAAGTCTCCAGAAAAGTAGGGTCTGTTCCAGGTGGGCACTAATAAACCTGCTGTGCATGGTAACTGTCAAGATGCAGTCACACTTACTTGTAGGCGCTTCTCCCCCCCACACATACGTAAATGAACCTCCCAGTTGTGGTATGATGAGATCATAACATCCATGGGTCTTGCGATGGAGGGGGAGCTATTTCGATCTCTGCAGGGAAGAGGTCTTTGCATGCCTGGCGATTGTTACATTCTTTTTATTGCATGTGGATTTCCGAGTGCAGATTGGTAAGTAAACTATTATTTGGGAGCGTGCTTGTGCAATTGCGTGCCAGCAGACAGGTGTGGGCACTTCCCACTCAACCACAGTACTTTGGGCGATGTTGAAAGTGATGTTATTTTCTTTTGGACCTCGGGGTAATTAGGGGTGTGGTGCTTGGTGATCGTTTTACAACACATGCCCACATGTTTGTGCATGCATGCACACACACACACATCCTCCTCCTCCTCCTCGCATGCCTCCCCTCGTCATCGTCCTCATTGACAACGCATTCATCATCACATCGGCCGTCACAAAAGTCTCATCGGCGTAGGTAGTCATGGTCAGATTGGCCGTCATAAAGGCCTCTTCGGCGGAGTCATTACCCATCTCTACCGCTGCCTCCAAGACGGCAGCGGGTTGTTTGTATATGAACATGATGATCATTGCCCCCCCGAGAGGGGTCAGATATCTACGCAGACACCATGCTTGGGACCGTACGAAACGATATCCTCGTTCCCAATAGACACGAGCCAGGAGTAGTACATACTGAGTCCGATGCCCACAATGTGGCAAGGATTTTTACAGTGCTGCAGGCCTGCGTGTGCATCAGACACAAGGTGCAGCCACCTGTTCAACGCTCACACGATTAGCAGCCACTCTGGGTACAAGTGCGGCTGATCAGCTTCCACTTCTTGCATCTGACCCACCCATTCCACCTTGCCGTGATTTCTCCCCACTCCAACTGACAGTGGAGCCCCCGGCTGGAGATTCTCTCTTTCCTGGAGCGCATGCTAGAGCCTATGGAGTCAATACAGCCAGAGGAACCTGACAGAAACTGTCAAGACCGAATGTGCCATACAATCTGCAGAATCAAACAAAGCTCCCCCTGCCATGCAATCTGCACAATCAAACGACCTCATAGTGCTACAGGGAGGCCACTATGTACGATGTGATAAATGTGTATCTCCTTGCTTACAATTGCAAGCAACCCCTATACTGTTTCTAGTTTTGCAGATAGTCTGCTGGATGCTGTCTGCCCAGGGGATGATAGTATTGCGCCTGGCGTATGGCATTTAAGGGAAGACGACTGCAACGGGCTACTTAAAAGAAAACGCCAGGGCAGATTGCGGATGTCGACATTAGTAAGGTGATGATAGGTACTATGATAGATCGTGGTGCACCAGAAGTTTTAGTTTTCATAGAATAGTGAAGTTCCACCTAGGAACGCAAGTGCAGGATTTGGATGAGTCAGTGCGGAAAGGGGTCTGGAAAGCGGCAAGATGGGGTGTGCCAAGGACTTTTGGAAAATTGAGTGTGGAGACAAACAGAACTGGAATCTCCCATGTGGTCCCAGAGATGGAGCGACGAGCAAAGCCGGAAAAACAGGAAAGGCTTCTTCGCCAACGACTATCTAATCCAAAAATTATCTCTGAACTTCGTAGCGTGCAGCGCGTTGTCTTTTTCTGGGCCAAAAGGAAGAAGGAACGCACGTTGGATCTCGGTTTCGAACGAGGGACCGACGACGCTCTTCGCAGAGTTTGGAATCCAATTCGGAGGGTCACAGCCTCACTGCTTTCTTCTTGAACTCTTCTTCACCACGTGTCTGATAGTTGAACCCTTGGGCTTGGAAACGCTCCGTGCCGCAACAATCTCTGCGCAGCGTGCGAGGCCAGGTGGGACCAACTGTCGGCCACGGGATGACAATCAACTCGTTGAAAGGGAGAAAAACAGAGTAGGGAGAGAAATGGGTATCAACAATCACAAAACATCAAATCCAGAACACCATGTTTCAGAAGGGAAATGGTAAGGGCCGCCTTTCTTGGCTATGTCTTCTCATACGTCCCAGTCACCGACACGTGTCCTATCCTTGTTGCACGGGAAAGATCGTGGTTGGGGATGTTCAAGAAGTTGGCCCCGCGATGGCTCTGCTGGTTCAGTCCACATGGGCGATACACACGCATCCACCACTTACAAAACAAAGCAACAAAACCCCATGAATCTCTGGGAATTGCCTTCGCAGAGGAAACCAGGCAATACGATGCGACTGTCATGCCGGTTGTGTCTGCGCGAAGGGGAATTACCCAGGAAACTAATGGATGAGTTCAGGAAGAAGTTTTTGACTGGGCAATCACGGGTTCTTCAAAAAGAGGTACAAAAATGAAGACAAGCTCCGAGTGACGACCGAAAAAATACTTGGATCTTTGCATGGAATGAACATTCTTCACAGCGAGAAGAAGGGCAAAGATCCTCATGAGTCGAGCAACTTTTTTAAGGGGTGCCCATTCCAAAACCTGTCGATCGCATCTGCAGACAGGTCTTACCTCTAATCATGCAAAGGGGGAGTTCATTCTAAATGGGGAGAAAAAGGAAGTGAAGGTGAGAAAGGAAGTGAAGGTGAGAATGTTAGCCAACTGAAGTGCTTCGCGTTCACGATCACCAAGGGTGTAGTCGGTCTCCTCGTTACATTCTTCTTGCAAGTGGAAGATTGTACCAAGAGGCGGACTGGCTTTGTTGATTGGGAGCGCCGAGGACATCTCCAGGAGAATTCTTGACCATAGAGAAAGCAAAAGAGAACCGCATCCATCCATTCATCCACCATCAGCACATCAACCCTGTCAAGATTCGAGAGAGGGAGAGATCATGCACACTACCATTGAGAAGACATTCATCTCACGAGACAACCTTCACCCAACGAGATCCTGAAAATAGGAGGGCGAACGAAATGCGATCCTGGCCGCCATGTACCCAGCGCTAAACCCCAACGATCGTCACCCTGTCCACTCAACTACTACGCAGATTGGCTCGGATCCTGTAGTCCGTTGCAGCGATCCAGCGCGCAATCCCGCAGAGTCGCATCCGACTCGTCGAGACTTTCCGACTCGCTGATCACCACCTCATCTAGCACTACTCCAATAGAGTTGGCTGATGTATTGCGAGAGACAAAAACGATGCACTGCGAGATTTATAGTTGCGCAGGGGAGGGCAATCCAGTGATGATGAGGGATAGAAGAGGGGAGAGATGAGAAAGAGGGAGATGCACGGGAGGGCCATGCTGATCCTCGCAGAGTACTTCATAGTCGGTGGGATCGCAGTGTGAGGAGCTTAGAGCCTCCTTACACACTCCCGTCCGACTTTTACGATTACTCGGGAGTACTTCATAGACGGTGGGATCGCAGTGTGAGGAGCTTAGAACCTCCTTACACACTCCCGTCCGACTTTTACGATTACTCGGGGGATCAACAGGACCTTCCTACGTATAGACGAAGGCGGGAAAGGAGGTTGAGGGAAGCAGTATAGTGCAAGACCAAGATTCAACGGTAGCAAGAAAAAAAAAAGAGCGCAAAAGGGGGGAGAAGCTAGGCTGAACTCCGGGCTGCCCGGCGGCCGGCTCGTCGCCCGGGCGGGGGGACGGGCCGCCTGGCCGGTCGTTCCGCCCGGTTGGCCACCGGGCGACCCCAGCGCATCATCGAGGGGTTTTTCGTTTTATTTTTTCGTCGCAGGGGGCCTTCTCTCCCCCCGAAGGAGGCCGTTTATGAAGAAAAAAAAAAAAAAAAGGGCCGGTAGGCCCGATTTGAAAGATTTCAAATTGCGGCCTGTCTGCGCCGTCGATCTCCAAGATCGACGGCCCAAATGCCCCGCGATTTGAAATAATTCAAATCGGGCCTACCGGCCCTTTTTTTTTCCACGCTGCTTCTAGTTTCCCGCCTCACTTCGGCCGACTCGATCGTCGTTGCCTTCAAACCCCACGCCCGACGCCTCACTTCGACCGACTGCTGCATTCGTCGTTGCCTTCGAACCGCGCGCCCTCCAATGAAGTCGACGCCCCCCAAACGCCATCGCGCTGCCCGCCGACGCTCCCCGACGCACGCCACGGTGAGTGCGTTAGTCCGAGAGAGAGAGAGAGAGATCTTCTTCTTCTTCTTCTTCTTCTCCTCCTCCTCCTCCTCCTCCTTCGCTTCTTCTTCTTCTTCTTCTTCTTCTTGTTGTCGCTCTTCCTCTTCCTCTTCGTCCTCTCCTCCTCTTTCGCTTCTTCTTCTTCATCTTCTTCTTCCGCCTCCTCTTCTTCTTTTGCTTCTTCTTCTTCTTCCTCTTCTCCTCCTCCTCCTCCTTTTCTTCTTCTTCTTCGTCCTCCTCTTCTTGTTCTTCTTCCACAGACAC